ACAAAATATTTGATTTTTTTTTTTCTATTCAAACATTTGTACATATTTATATGCATGTTTGGCAAATGGTGTATTTCACATGATACGACAGAAAATAATAGAACTGAACCTTTACTCATGTAAAAACTTCTTGTACTTTTCCTAAATAATTTGAGTGATTATATCCAAGAATTGAATATTAGTACTTGTGTATTTCTAGATGCCCAGTTTTGTACTTTTATCATTATATTTCATTTCTCAATAGCTATTAAAACAAATTCAATATTATTTAGAAAATATTTTCAATATGAAGGATAATTTAAGTTTTTGCATGAATCAGATGAAAGCCTGGAGTTTGTATTCAACCATAAAGTATGGTTTACTAATCATGAATTTTAACATTATAGTATAATCTGTTGTAAAGAAATTTATATAAACAATGTAGAAGATTGTTAAAAAAATTAAACCTTCAATTATAACTTTTCCAAGTAGTTTAATGTTTGAATATGCTCTTGATTTGAGATCTTAAAAAAATACTTTTTGTTATCAGTTAACAAGTGATATTTTATAGGTTGAATTCATAGTCATTTATATAAGAAAAAATTATCTTAGTGTACTTTGGTTTACTGTTATTTTGAAAACTAAATTTACCACATTTCCATAGTATACTGAAAATATAGAGAATCTGATTTTACTAATTACACAGTAAAAACTATGTTTAAGTTTTTAGAATAAATTCAAAGTTTGTGAATAAGAAGATTGTTGAGAACTTTTTTTTGAATTCTAGACAGTGTAGGAACAGTAAGGTTGGTGTGTCTTGGATAGTATTACGGTCTTTATGCAGCACCTGAAGGAGGACTCGATGTGGCTTAAAGTCAACTGAAGAAAACTCCAACCTTACTGTTTTGTTTACTAAATGTCCAGTTGAGTTAGAATGCTCTTTGCATGTGAATTTACATTTTAAAAATGTGTAAGTCTAAGAGTAAAAAACATTTTTGATCATTAACAGTTGTTTATTATTCACAGACAAAATGGTGTAAGCTGCTGTTGTAAATTCTTGATCATTTATGTCTGATACCTGTTTAAACCTGTTTCTTCATTCACTGCTACATAGTCATCATTCTGTATCAGACACTGTGGTTTTTTTAGAATCAATTATATTATTTACTAGCAGATAACATCGACCTATTTCAACTTATAAGGATGTTGTGATGGAAAAACATTTGTTGAAATTGCTTAATGCCTTAAGCTTTGAAATTTTCTAATGATGACAAAAACAACTCTAGGGATTTTCTAAACATGTAAAAACAAATGTTTGCGAAACCAAAAGCTGAACATTAAGAGCACAGACTGTGTGATTCGTTTCAGTGTATCTTTTTTCATGGTCTGTGGTTAGGGCATTTGACTCGCAGTTTGTTGTTAAACTATCACCCATTTCAGCCTTGGGAACATTAGAATGTGATGGTCAGTCCCATTTTTCATTGACAAAGAGTTGGTGGTGTTGAGTAGCTGCTTTCTCTTTGGTCTATCACTTCAAAATGAGGTACGGCTTGAGTAGCGTTGGGCAAAATTAAACAAACAAAACTCTTGTCTCCATATCTTACTTGTAGAAACAAAATGTGTGTTTGAAGGGAAATCTTTATCAATGATGTTAGGAATACTTTTCATGCTTTCCACCTACAAAATGAATGATACTGAAAAACATATTTTTTTATTTGTAAACTGTACCTTATTACTAGGGTTGCTTCCTGTTAATGTTTTAGTGAAGTTTTCCTTTTTCCGTAATAAAATTCGTTATTCCATTTTGGGTTATTAAGAATAGAAAATAATGTGTTCCTTATTTTTTGGAGGGTGCATCATTGTTTTGTGTTTTAAACTTTAGTTTCTGACTTGACTAACATTATGACATTTATCATATACTAACAAAGGTATTTCTTGTTTTAGAGTTGTTTAGGTAACAGCCCTAACTATGCAGTTGTTGTTGTTGTTTGCTTTTGTTAAAAACTAAGTGATTGAGTATATTTGTAGGCCAATAATCATCTAAAATTTGGAGGAAAATATCTATATTGGTGTATTTGACAATAACAAAAAAAAATTAAGAAATAGGTTTAAGGTCTGTTCTTTTACACAATATGAATTTTCTTAGAACTAGTTTTTCTATAAACTTAAATCACTTTCTACAAATATTTCATTGTGTTCTAGTACTATAGTACTAACATAAATACCAAAACCTAAATAGGAAAGTTTTAAGGCAGAAATATCATCACAAAACTAATTCCAATAAATATTTATTTTCCAAAATTCTAAAAAATAACACTAGTCGTTTCTTTAGTTTCGTCATGTGTATATATATATATATATATATATGGAAGAACCAAATCTTTAGAACTCTTAATGCATTCATGACTTAAAAGGTAAATTTTACATTGGCTACCACAGTTTTGAGTAATTTTTTTCATGTCTAATTAAAATGTTTACAATCATAAAACCTGAAATTTTTAAAAATATTTTTCTGTTGGTTTGAATGGTACTTGATATAAATTTCAAGACATCACCTACAAATTTGGCTGATACACTAGTGAAGAAGACATATGTTGACCATTTTACAAATTGGTATTGTGATATTGCTCACAAAGTGTCAGCATGGACTACATGGTTGAGTTATGCTATTTTTCATGCACACTAATTACTCCCAGTATATTTGTAATGTGAAAATTCAACTTTATTCCAGATGTTATTTGCAGTATTAAACTATATTCCTTAGAAGGTGAATTATTTTTGGACATGATCATTTATAAAATCCTAAAACTAATTCATATAATTTCACTACAGTATTTTTAGGATTCACTGATTGTCCCAAGATATGTTTTGAAGAAAAACAGGAAGTTCGAACATGAAATATATCATGAAGCAAATCTTAATTCTGTGTTTTTGAGTTTTGAAGAATTAAATAGACTATACAGTGAAACGATCTTTATTCACGGGTGCAATCAAAATAAGTGTATGTAATAGACTAAAGACAGCACTTGCTGGCAAGAGCTCTATCTCAAGAAATAGCTGTAGAAATTGGTATAATTAAGTAGACTAAATAAACACATCTGCTCAAAAGAACAATGTTACCTACATGATTTTTGGCCATTTCTATTGCAACATTGGGGAGGGATCCTCGAGACATCACACTACGTGCCAGTGAAAAAGGTCTACTTTAACAAAATATGTACAACTATGGAAAAATATTTCTTATGAAAAGACAAAGGTGATGCGTTAGGTAGATAACTTTGAACCATAGGTAGCTAGAGCGAAAGGAACTTTACTTTCTGTGTGAAAGCCAATAACACCTGAATAATTGAAATATTAAAGTAAAGGAGCAGCAAGTACTATAATTAATAATTTGTCTGAAAAATATTGATACATGTAAAAGCATTATTTTACTTGTTCAGAAAATTACATCCTATGCAGATATTTTACCGATCATACCAATAATTTTCTGGTTATTTAGTTAGTAATGAAATATTGCAAGAAAATCTGTTAAACTGTATTTGTAGTAAATAAATTCAATTTACATTAATTTTAGGGGAAAAAATGTCCGTTCGAAAGAACGTTAATAAAATAAATCTATGCTGAATAATACTTTTATTCAGAAAAAATAAAAAATCCTTTTTTATTAAGACTTGGGGGTTAAAAGGAAAGTTGCACAGGGTAAAGAGGAAATACAAATCGCTACTCCATGCGCAACAAGTAATCAACCAACTAATAATAATTCCATCTAATTATACTTAGAATTGTGTAGAATGATTCACAGTTAACATGGAATGATGTTACTAATTTCATCCTTTATAAAATCACTATTAATGTTTAAAACATTAAAAACTTTTTTTTTCTTTTTTTTGGAATGGGTTTTCTTCAACATGCTATTGAAATCTCGTCCTTTGTTTCGGTGATGTTTCCTTCAATGCAACTTGTGCTGTGGGGGAAGAGTGGTCTAGTGGTTACCGAAAGAATAGCTACGAAACTTAGGTTCGTGTGTGCGTTATAAGAGTGATGGATAAATCCACTATTTGGTCTGATAAGGGTTCACAGCGGGTGTTGACTAATAGCCTTTACACAGTTAGGGCAGGTAACTCTCGAGTAGCTTTGTGAGAAATTCAACAAAAAAAAATAAAACAGAAGATCTTGAGCAGTATTTTTTAAAAATATATGCTTCGTTTTTGCAGTAAATGAACAAAGAAATCATATATAGAAATTGTTGATGAATAATTATACTTTTCTCTGGTGTTACTGACAAGTGTTGTTAGTTTCCTAATGCAAAGCTCCACG